TTTTACACAGTCCTGAGTACCAGGCTTTAAGACAAATCAGTGATAAACCAGAATAATAACTAAGACTGTGGTAGATCCAGATGATATAAGGAACTAGGGATATCTAAATGGGGAGAGAAAAAAGAATTGAAGGAAAGGGTTATATAATAGCAATCTGTTTTCATATTTGAAAAATGTAGCAGCTAAAGATCAAAGCACAATAAGATAAGTCGGCTTCACAGAACTAAGAATTTTCTAACAATCTGAACTGTCCAAAAAAGTGATGGACTTCTTTACTAAATTCCCACAAATCATAAGTATTAAAATAAAAGGATTTATTTCCCCAAGTTAGAAATATTGTTGAGTAGATTCAGTAGGAGACAGAGCAGAACAGGGTACTGCTTTCTAATATGTGATTCTTGACACTATGGAACCTCAAGTCTTGCTATAGAGTTGTGGGGTGTGGTGGGGGTAGGATGGAACCATTGCTGAGCAGGCAAAACGCCTAACTTATCAACTCTAGCTTCAACAAAGTGTGCCATTTATATATCCAGTTTCTAATGCAGGGGCATGGTTGAGAAATGTGGGGATCAAATAAAGAGAAGCAGTATGCCTTAGAATAAAGTTCAAAAATTACTGAACAAGCTGACCTAAGGTCTCTTTCATTTTTAATATTCTGTGATTAATTCCTATTATCTTTTTTTTCCATTAAGTTTACTGGTACATTTTAGGCATAGAATACAGTTACACTCATCGTTAGGAACCTGTACCTTTACATGATGTACCTTCTTATTTTTTACCCATTCCCCTGCCCTCCTTCAACCCTTCCACCCTTCTCTATTTACAAAGACTATGTTTCCCTTTTTTTCTTTTCTCATATTTATCCCATTCCCTTCTTTCCCTTCCCCTATCCCTCTAACTTCCTCTGCCCCATTGAACCTTTTCTTCCTATTTCACATTATCTATCATACATTTTGATTCTTATTTGTACTTTCAGTTTATCATACCAGAGAAACTATTTGATATTTACATGTGTCCTATTTATTTCACTTAAGAGTATGGCCTCAATGTGTATCCATTTAGCTATAAATGAGTCTAGTTTCTCACTCTTTATGGCTGAGTACTACTCCATTTTATTAAAAAATCCCATCTTCTTTATCTAGTCTAGTTGATGGGCAATAGGGCTGTTTCCAAGCTTTAGCTATTACAAGTGCTGCTATAAACATGAGTATGGATATATCACTGTGGTATAATTATTTTAATTATTTTGGGACGATATCTCTCAGAGTAATAAATGGGTCAAATGGGTTTTTTGAGGTATCTCCATACTGATTTCCACAGTGGTTGCACCAGTCTATACTTCTACCAACAATGGAGAAGGGTTGCTTTTCCCCCACAACCTGCCAGCATTTGTTGTTGGTTGATTTCTTGATAGCAGCCATTCTTTCTTGGGTGAGGGGGAATATCATCATTGTTTTCATTTGCATCTCTCCAATGACCAGAGATGGTGAACATTTTTTCATGTTTTATTTGCTGCTTTTTAATTCTTTGTCTGAGAAATGTGTGTTCATTTCAGATGCCCACTTTTTAACTGGGTCTTTATATATTTAGCATCTGATTTTTTAAAAGTTCTTTAAATATTCTAGATAGTAGTCCTTTGTCTGAGCAAGGGCTAATAAAAATTTTTCCCACATTGTAGGTTGTCTTTTAGCTCTGTTGGTGGTTTCTCTTGCAGCACAGAAGCTTTTCAATAAGGTAAGATCCCAGTTCTTGGTTCTTTGTGCTAGTTCCTGTGCTACTGAGGTTTTGTTCATAAAGTCTTTTCCTATGCCAATATCCTCAATAGTTCTACTTACCTTATCTTCCAGAAAGTTCAGAGTTTCTGTTTTAATATTTAGATATTTAACATACTTTGAAGTTGGTTTAGTGCATGGTGAAAGACACAGGTCTAGTTTTAATCTTTGGCAGGTTGAAATCCAGTTTTTCTAACACCATTTATTAAAGAGGCTATGTTTCCTCCAGAATTCCTATAATCTTATTGAGGAATTATTGCAAGTAAAATTAATGTCTATGGTTTTAAAATCCTCCTCTTCTTCAATAATGGGCCTTTTAGAGGGAATTATCTAGGTAATCTTGTCAGTACTTCACTTTACTTGTGTCAGCACAGTACATATTATGTCAGAGGGAGATTTGATATTTCTCTGAAAAAATTTAGTGTTCAAATCAAATGCCCTTTACTTCAAAAATAAGCAGCAGTTGGAGAAAAAAATAAATCTCACAATCTCATGAAGTTATACATTTTAGATCTGTACTTCTATGAAGAAAAACATTTGAAATTAATTTATGTATACTTAATTTTAAGTGGACATAGTGTATTATCAAAATAATTATATAACTTAACCAAAAGTAAAACAAATGTGTTTTGTATTAGAATACTAAAAATGGAAAATAATACATGAAAATTTCAGACATGTGTCTTTAAAGTACTCATCTCAAAAGTTATATAGCATTTCATGGTTCCTATCTGAGCCAATCACAATGACTACAAGTCAATTTATAGGAAGTTTTAAAAAAATCATATTTTGAATTACTGATCTTACCTACCTTAAAAAATCTACACAAACCTTACTGTATTTGCTTTCTTGCTATCTTAATCACATTAGTAGAAATTTTATGTATAACTCAACTAGGAACTGTGTTTTCATTTAGTATGCCTCAGAAGTAGTATTAATAGATTTGATTGTTTAGAAGTAATTCTGAAGGTTCACAATCTATATTTTGGTAAGGCACAACAGAAGATGGCAGTCCAGTGTGTAGATTGAGTCCACTATCACCACAGCAGTCTGGCCGATCTCTGAGTGTAGGAATCTCAGCATGGCCTGCCTGCCTTTCTTCCTTTCTCCCCCCCCCTCCACTCTCTTTTGGTACTAGGGATCAAGCTAAGGACCCAGTGGCAGGCACAGCACCACTGAGGTACATCCCTGGCCCACTGTTTTTTTTCTATTGATAGTGTTTTTAATGTATTTTGTGATGATGCTAAGTGGTATACCAAACCAAGGAAACCTTAAGATAAAATGCTCGTTAACACTATGATACAGGAGCTGGGCGTGGTGGCGCACACCTGTAATCCCAGCACTCGGGAAGCTGAGGCAGGAGGATCATTGCAAGTTTGAGACCAGCCTGGGCTACATAGTGAGTCCCAGGTCAGTCTCAACTACATAGTGAGACCCTGTTTCAAAAAACCAAAAAAACCAAAAAACAACCCACTAAGATACAATAATAGTATATCTTATGTGGTTTTTGTCAGTTATTATTTATAAATTTATGTATAAAAATTTTAAATATGGGCCAGGGATTTAGCTCAGTGGTGCTACCCCCTGCCTCTCAAATGCAAGGTTCCAAATTTGATCCCTGGTACAAAAAAATTTTTTTTTAAATATGATCATCGCACAATACAGTAACCTTAACAATATTTCAAAATGCTTTCCTATATTTGCTCTTAAGAAAGCATATAAATTTTCTTACAGAAAGTAACGTATTGATGGCAGAAAAATGAGTAAACATGGGACAACAAAAAGGAGAAAAAAAATCCTTGCAAAAGCAAAATAATTTAACAGCAGAGATTTTAAGGACTCCATTTTAATTGCAAAATGTTGATTTAATTTATATTTTTTCTTCCATGTAAATTTAACCCTTTCTTCTGGGCCCACAGGACTGCTCCAATGATTTCAACATTACATGAATCCTAGATGATGTCATTATCAAAAAATACAGAATAGAATTAACCTTCATATCACATTTGAGAAATTCTCATAAATCACATTACCAAAGCAGATTAGTATTACGAATTTAAAACTATACCTTTAAGATTGTAAATATATATAAAAACTTATGTGAAAATATACAATTATCAAGTTTTCTCTTAAAAACTAGATAACAGAATTAATGTGGTAAACTTACTGTTATAAAAACTTACACTATGTAATTCTTGATTTTTATAAACTCCATTTTATTTGTTTATTGCTTTTTTTTTTTTTTTTTTTTTTTTTCCAGGGGTTAATTTTTTTTTTTTTTTTTTTTTTTTTTTTTTTTTTTTTGTACCAGGGATCGAATTTGGGTTCTTGAGCTTGCGAGGCAGACAGTGGCACCACTGAGCTAAATCCTCAGCCCTGTTGCTGTTTTTTGAGACAAGGTCTTGCTGCATGGTTCACGCTGGCCTTATTCTCACTAGGTAGACCAGTCTGGCTTCAAACTCTCAGTGATCCTCCTGCCACAGCCTCCCAAAGGCTGGGATTACAGGTGTGTGCCACCATGCCCTGGCTCAATTACTTTTTAAAGAAATATAGTTTTACTTTTAAAAGTTTGAATTCAGAGAGAATGTAGCTTTCACATTCCCCTCTAAATTTTAAGAGATTTGTACTTATGATCTAAATATGTTCACTGATTTAAGAAAACCAAGGTCAAATATCTCTTTTATAGTCCCCTTTTAATCTACTTCCTGCTAAAAATATTTCAAAGATTCCTAATTTAAGAACATAGATGCTAATCAAACAAACTTATTGCCTGGGATGCTTCTTATATCCTAACTAAAATACTATCTAATAAGCTTTGAGATCAGCTATCATTTATTTTAAACATATAACTATTCATGGAAAGTGACGTTCTTGTATGTAGCAATGAATATTCTCAACATTTTTAATACATTCTAGAAATACAATAAATCAATAACAGAGATTCTTTTCTAGGGAGACAGGCACAAAGATTAGGCACTGTGATATCAGGTTCACATTTCTCAAGATGCACTGTGGCTACTATCTAGATCACACCAGGCTTTGGGAGGTGGGCGGGCAACCCACTTTCCAGTCCCCCTTCTGGCTTAGACAGAAGCTTTCTTTCTCTTAATACATTTTTCCTACTCTTAAAAAAAAATCTAGATCATACCAGACTGCATGGTTTCTAAAATTTCAAGTTTATTATAAAGAAAGATTTGAGGAGAATAAATAATACATTAATGTTGTTACCTTTTAGACGATGGCTTAGAATCTGTTCCAAAATAGCTGCAAAATTGTTAAATTCAGGAGAAGAATCATCAATTGTTTCAAAGCAAGACCGATCAATCAGGGTCTTCACAGAAAACCTAGGAAAAAAAATTATCGTTGCTGTTAGGCAGAGTTAATTCATTTACATAAGTATGAAAAATGGGAGGAAGGCAAGTTTGTGAAAGATACATTTTACAAGATTATATATTCTGAAAACTCTATTCAAGTCATTCCATAAATAGAAAAAAAATAAAGAAAATTTAGGCTTTTAAATTACATATTTGGTGTATATATTTCAGTCTGCATGTGTCTTCCTCAAATTTATATGTTGATGCCTAAAGCCCAGCAGAAAAGTATTAAGAGTGGGACTGTTTGAGAGGTTCTGAGGGCCCTTTAATTACTCTTTGTAGAAGAGACCCAAGGGAGCTTGCTTGTTTGCCTCTTCTGCTATGTAATGACACTCAGAAGGCACCACTATGCTGTGGAGCCCCTCAGCAGACACTCAATCTCCTGGCAACTTGATCCTGGTGTCTTCAAAACTGTGATCAATAAATATCTGCTGCTTATAAATTATCCTTGTTATAGCAGCCTCAAGGGACTAAGATATAACCTGTTGACCAAACTATGACTTTGCAATAGTTCTGCCCTCACAGCCATGAAAACTATAATCAAAATATGACCTAAATCATTAATTCTAAAATACTCAGGAGCCATAGTACGAAGGACAGTTCCCACTTTATGATGGTTTGACTCTGTTCTTTCAATTACATGAGCTATTCAATACTTTATAATAAAATAGGCTTTGGGCTAGGAATTTAGCTCAGTGGTTCCACCACCTGCCTCGCAAGTGCAAGGTCCCAAGTTCGATCCCTGGCACCTAAATAAATAAAATAGGCTTTGTGTTACATGATTTTACCCAAATGTGTTTTCTTAGCATTTTAGCATAGACTAGGCTAAACTACAATGTACAGTAGGTTAGGTGTATTAATTTTTTTTTGTACTTGCTATCGAACTCGGGACCTTGCTCTTGAGAGGCATCAATCAGACTGAGCTATAAATCCCTGGCCCTATTAAGTTCATTTCTGACTTATAATATTTTCAATTTAAAATTGTTTTATCAAGACATGACCTCATTTTGAGTTTAAAAGCATCTGTACTTGTATAAAATTTGAGGTTCAGATTCAAATAAATGCTTTAAGAGTTTTTAAGCACAGAAGAGAATAAAATAGGACATAAGCATTCATGGAGTATAAATCCAGTTTTTATGAAGTATAAATAGGAAAACTTGCAAATATGCAAAGAATGTTACATTTTAATTTATCTCTTTATTAGTACACGTTTGCAGTACATGCAGTTTATAATCATCTTGAGGAGTATGTACATGTACATAATAAAGCTTGGTTCTTTGTTTTTAATCCCCTGCCCTTTTGCTCTGTCTCCCTCCTTCCTTTCTCTAAATTGCCTTCCCCAACTTTCAGTCCTGTTGATATTATTAATCTTATCTCATGTTATATCTCTTATTAGAATATACTTTCTTTTTTCTGCCAAAAATCAATATATTATCCAAATCTCAGCTCAAATGCCAAATCTGCAATGAAAAGTTACCCTCTTGCATAGTCCTAGACAAACTAGCATTTTGTATCTCCCTCAAGAGAAAATTACAATTTAACTTACTGCTGTCATTTGTGTTTCGTATCTTTAAATGATCAGAATATAAGTTCCTACAGGACAGAAATAGGCCTTTTGTGTGTTGTATTTTTCTTGGCACCTAGGACAATGCCTTAAACATTGTACTCAGCAAGTACTTGTTCATGTATTTGAAAGCTTTCATGTTTCAAGAATAGCAAAGAAATGTTTAAACGTCAATATCATAGCAAAATAAAAGTTTGTGATTTTTAACATGCATAGATTTATATCACCATGAAATGCATGCTACAAAGCAGTTCTGTCTCCTTAAACAATTCTATTTTCCAATCTTTTTATATTTGTATCTTACAAAGGACTACAAATAAGTCCCCAAGATAAATGGTGGGGGATAAAGAGGAGATAACTGTGAGAGTTCATAGGTAATTAGACATGAAAATATGAAGAAGACAAAAGAATACAAACTCATATTTTAGGCTTAATAGTTGGAAATTAGGAAAGAAAATTTAAAAAGACAAATATAAAGGAAAATATACAGAGCTTTGTTTATATCTATTATTTACATCTTCAAAATTTAAAGGAAAATTTTAAATACAGGCAGTCTTTACTAACACAGTAGTGTAGGATCCTAAAAATTATTATGCAAACTGACACTATGTAAAGTGACCTTAATAACCCATAAAAAATTATCCAAGTTTGGTGGCACACACAAGTAATCCTAGCATGATTAGATTCTGAGGCAGGAAAATTCAGTTTGAACCTACCCTTGGCAACTTAGTGAGACCCTATCTCAAAATAAAATATGTTTAAAAGGGCTAGCGGGTTTAGTTCAATGTGAGGCCCTGGGGTTCAATCTATAATATGGCAAAAAATCTATGGAAAAAATATAATTGTTCTGTGATCCTTATAATTTTTTGTTAAAACATTAAAAATTATCTAACAGTCAAATGTCCAGGAAAATGAAAAACAGTAAAACAGGTAAGAACACTGTGATTTAGAATATTAGAAATATTTATGTAAAATGATTTACTTCTTTGTAAAAAATTTATCAAGAACAGCTTGAATGATGCTTATTTTATTCTTCTCTTTGTAAAATCTAAGGCATGAGAATAGTACTTTTGCCTTAGCAAATTTTCATATTCCTTTGTAAGCTTGGATCAGCTCCCAACATTTTGTCTTTCACTCTTTTGCAACCCTGTGGAATATCTTGGAGAGGTCCTATTTTCTAAAGTGTTTTGTTAGTATCGCTTTCTCTGGGGCATCTTCTTGCTTTCTATTGTAATTCCTTTCCTCATTTATATCAATAAATTAATGTCTGCTAAGTTCTTCCAGCTGCATATCTAGATTCTCTTGAACAATAGCAATATTAACATTCATATGAGCAACTACTTCTACAATTCCATTTATGTTTGATTCAATTTTTATTTTGAATTATTTCTTTTTTTCTGACTTTCACCTTTGAAAACTGGCTAATTCATTCCTTCAACTATCCAGTTCATAAAACATCATGTGGGTTCACCACCAGAAGACAAAATGGCAATACAATTGTAGGTTTTTTCCGTGTATGTGATAAAACAGATACAGTAACCAACCCCTACAGAGACTCTGAGAGGAGTGAAATGGTTAGTCATCCACCATGTGATACCTTTTATAGACATACTGATTTGGGAATTGAAGAGAGTAGTAAAACACATATTTTATCCAACAGTTAATATACAATGGTAATGCAAACTGGAATCATGTTACTGATGGACTAATATTATTTAACCCAACTGTGGTAATTAGAACACTTGAAGCACAGATATAGAACTGCACTGATCTATCACATATTAAATATATTTTATGAAAATATATCTTCCAAAAGAAAAAAAATAGCAAGAAGAGCATTGACATGTTAATATTGCTAATGTTGTATTTAATAGATGATAATTATACTATCTGCTTCAGAATTCAATTTATTCTAAAATTACATGGTATGTGGCTTCTGGAAAACACCACTATACCATTATTAGAGAAGAAGAACTTTAAAAAAATAAATAATGTTTTCAAATTGCTAAGATCACAATTCTGACCTTTCAAATGTCTGAAAAGGTCTGGATCCAAGAGCATATTGGAGAACCACTACCTGAAGACATCCTTTATATTTAACGAAATAATTCTTCTCTCACACAACTAGGATAGCATCAATTATATACTACCATGTATTCTTGAAGAGTTGAGAAAACAGTCACTCAAGTCATTTTTAGTCTTTCTTGGTTCAGATGAATAACCATCATTAAGAGAGACTGAGACAGATTAACATTCAACTATATATATAGTACTATGCATCTACAACAGCCAATGGAGCTCAATGGTGAAAGCTAGGAAATAACAATGATGAAGCTGGTTACTTATACCTGAAGGATTGTGATGCTAGATAAAACACATGAATAAATGAAAACAAAAAGAATATAAAGGGAAACCAGATTTTAAGAAGACTTGAAAGTATCTGTCTTGCATGAGAAAAATAATGCTAATCCTCAGATTTGGGGTTTTTTGTTTGTTTGTTTTGCAGTACCAGAGATCAAACTCAGTACCTTGTGCTTGCAAGCCAGCTGTGGGACCACTGAGCTAAATTCCTGGCCCTGGTTGTTTTGTTGTTTTGAGACAGGATCTCCCAGTGGTGGTGAACCTATAGCACACTGAGTTATTTTTCTTTTAAGACAGAAGATGTTAATGGATGAGTTGTTTTATCTAAACTAAAACCTCAGTACTCAGGTTTAATTGTAGTGTTGGCACTTTGTGATAAGTGGGTTTGGGGTTGTAGTTTGGGTATCTGTCTTTAAAAGGTTCACTGCCACTGCCTTCTATAGTTCAGGCTGGCCTTGAACTCACTATGTAGCCCAGGCTGGTCTCAAATTCGAAGAGATCCCAATCCCCCTGCCTCAGGCACCTGAGTGCTTGGATTATAGGTGTATACTACCACACCTGGCTTTATAATTGGTTTTATAATTACAAATAGTAAGGGAGATTTTAAAATCTCAAAAGTCAATATTAAAGTTGAAGATTTAGAGAATATTATTTTTCCTTCATATTCTAAGCACAGTCAAAGTTACTGGAGAAAATGGACACTAAAACGAAATTTGTCTAGATGATATATTTATAAAATATTTCCAAAACAATGCATTTTGAAAATTTATTTCTGTGAAATATAATTTCTTAAAGTAGATTACTTGGGGAATATATATAAAATTCATTCCACTTTCACCCTTATCAAATCTATTTTTTTACTCAAAGACCGGAAGAGATCAATTTTTATTCTTCCATATTAAATGTTAATTAGAAAAATTTTGTTCAGTAATCCCAGCACTCGGGAGGCTGAGGCAGGAGGATCGCTGAGTTTGAGACCAGCCTGGGCTACATAAGTGAGTTCCAGGTCAGTCTCAACTACATAGTGAGACCCTGTTTCAAAAAA